TTGCCTATTGGCCCAGTGGCAACAGTTATTGTTTTCTTGATGTTAAGATGCTATCCATATCAAAGACTTTAGTCTTTGATGTTCTGCAGCCAACACTTCAAACCCTCCTCACTTTCAACAAGCAAGGTTTTATCATCTGCACAATACAGGTTCTTAAGTCTTCCTCAGATTATGATGTCACATTATTCTTTATAGGGTCCAGCTTCTCAAATTTGTTCAGTATACAGCTTGAATAGAAAATCTGTTCAGCATACAGACCAGAGAAAGGATACATCCCTGACACATACCTTTCTTGATTTTGACCATGTTCCTTTGTTCTGTTTGGAAAAGTTTCTTGGTATTGGTATAAGTTTTGGTTCCTGGTATAGGTTTTGCATTGTTGTTGCTGTTGTGTACCACAGAGTTGGAACTGAACCATAGCTGGCCCTTTGGAGGAATTTCAGAGGCAGTTAATCCCGTGGGAAGTGACTGCCCATCCTTCTCCCATGGAGCAGTTGGTGGCCTTGAATCACGTGTCTGTGGGACATGTGCCTGTGGGATTACAGTACAGCTTTCTGCCACTAAGCCACCAGAACTCCGTAGGTTTTGCGTAAGTACAAATAAGTGTCCTGGGATTCCCATTCTTCTCAATGTCAGCCATTTTTGTGATCCACACAGTCAAACGCCTTTGCATATTCAATAAAACACAGGTATACATCTGTCTGGTTTTCTTTATTTTCTGTCAAGATCCTTCTGACATCAACAATGATGTTCCTGGTGTCATGGCGACTTCTAAATTTGACTTGAATTAATCTGCTAAAGTACTGTTCTAGCCATTTCTTAATAAACTTTAAAAAAAAACAAGCAGTATTTTGCTTCCATGTGATATTATTCGATAATTTCTGCCTTCTTATGGATCACTTTCTTAAGGAATGGGAATAAATAGGGATCTTTGCCAGTCAGATTTCTTTGCACAAGCTGATATGTCCACGGCAGTATCTGTTTGTGGAATATGTCAACTGGTATTCATCCCATCGATTCCTGGGGACTTATTTTTTGCCAATGACTTCAGTGCAACTTGAACTTCTTCCTTTATTACCATTAATTCTTGATCATGTTACTTCCGGATATGGATCAGTGTCAGCTAATTCTTCTTGTGAATTGTGAACAATGATCCTGTGTATCCCTTCTATCTTCTATTGATGCTTCCTGGATCATTTAAGATTTTTCCCATGAAGATTCTAAGAAAGAATTCTGCCTTGCTTCTTCTGTCTTCGGGTTTTGGCATTCCTTGGCTTTATGACAGCATAACTCCTATCTCTCCATGTGTCTTCTCATGGCCATTTCCTCTGTCCCTATCTGTCTGTGTTTCTAAAGCTTTCTCTCCTTAAAAGTACATCACTCATTGGTTCAGGGACCATACAAAGTCATGGTATTTTCAGTTGTTTTATATGTATATGAAAACTGGGTTCTGAATAAGAAAGATAGAATTGATGCCTTGAAATTGTGGTGTTGGCAAAGTATTAAATTATGACCTGTTGCTGCTATATGCCCCTGAGTAAGAACCAAATGAAAACTGACTCTTAGTAAGTTTTCAGAGGCTATAAATTTCATGGGAAGAGACTGTCAATCTTTCTTCCTCAGAGCAGGTGATAAATTTGTACTGTTTGCCCTTGGGTTGGCATCACAACTCCTTACCTACATACCTACAAAGTCTCTGTTTTCAAATAAGGTCACATTTACAGAAACTTAAGCTTGTTGACTTCATCAGACCTTTTTAGGGGCTACAACTGAAGTAGATACACTTATAAATCCAGCCAAAAATCTAAAACTTTAAAAATAAAAGAGAAAATATTAGATGCTTATATAAAGACATAACAAATTACTTAGAAAAAAAAAACAGAGAGACAGGCATCAGCCTACTTACCTGCAGTATGGTAAAAGATATTTTTCTTAACTTTTGAGAGGAAAAAATATCATTGAAAACTCCTTCATCAATCAAGAGTAAAAGAAAGTTATTTGGGGATTTATAAGAAGTCAAATACCTTTCTTTAAAAAAATATAAATAATACCATAAACATTGACTTTCTTAGATGGGATATATAGGAAATCAAACTACATTTGTGATAGTATAAAGCTCATGATCAGCTGTTAGAACCAGGCCAGGAACTGACTAAGAAACAGATCATTAATATTTATATGCAAGTTCAAACTGAAGCTGAAGAAAATAAAAATAAATCTATAGAATAAAAATATAGTTTATTCCACCTGAATTTTAAAACCATCTAAAGAACAGATTTGATGTATTGAACATTATTGGCCTGAGACCAGATGACTTGTGGGACGACATTAAAGACACCAGATATGATGAAATTAAAAGACCATGAAACAGACAGAAATAAACAAAAGGCCAAAATGGATATGAGATGAGACTAAGAATTTGCTCTTAAATACAGAGAAGCTAAAGCAAAATGGAAAAAAATGAGGAAATAAGAAAGCTGAACAAAAGATTTCAAAAGGCAGTTCATGAAGACAAAACAAAGTATTATAATAAAATGTACAAAGACATGGAGTTAGCAAACCAAAAGGAAACAACACCCAAAACTTCTTAAGGTGAAAGAACTGAAGAAAAATATTCAAGCCTCAGGTTGCAATACTGAAGAATTCTATGGGCAAAATACTCAATGACACCTGAAGCATCAACAGAAGATAGAAGGAATACAGAGTCAATGTACCAAAAAGAGTTGGTTGACACTAAGGTATTACTGGAAGCAGCAAGTTCAAGAACCTATGGTACTATAAGAAGAGGTCCAAGCTTCACTGAAAGCATTGAAAAAATAAAAAAAAAAAAAAGCTCCAGAAAGCAACAGAACAACTGGGGCATATGGGCAAACAAATACAGCTCTGGATATGGATACTTACCTATTTCAAGAAATCTGGAAGACAGCTACTTGGACAACTGACAGATTCCTATTTGTGGTCACTAAAAAAAAAAGTGACCAAACAAAATGCAGCAAACAGTATCACTAATATCACACATTAGTAAAACCTTGCTACAGATATTTTAAAAGTGCCTGAACTAGTATATTGACAAGAAATTGATACAAATCCAAGCTGGATTCAGAAGAAGCAGTAGCATGAGGGATATCACTGCTGATATCAGATGGATCTTATTTAAAAGCAGAGAACATCAGAAAGATGTGTTTTGCTGACTACACAAAGGCATCTGACTGAGTGGAAAATATTAAGTTATGGGTAGAACTGAGAAGAATCAGAATTCCAGAACACTTAATTGCACACATGAGGAACCTGTACTTAGATCAAGAAGCTGTCTTTTAAGGGAGCTCTGGTGGCCTAAGTGGCAAGACGCTGCACTGCAATCCCAGAGGTATGCGGTTCAAATCCACCAGATGCTCTGCCGGAGAAGGAGGGGGCAATCTCCTCCTGTACCAGTCAGATCTGATTTGACTGTACACATAAAAATAATACAATAAAAATAAAAAAAAGAAGCTGTCTTTTAAACAGAACAAGAGGATACTGTATGGTTTAAAATCATGAAAGGTGTGTGTTAGGATTGATTCTTTCACCAGGCCTATTCAATCTGTATGCTGAGTGAGTAATTTAAAATTTGGACAATATGAAGAACATGGCATTAGGTTTGAAAGAAGACTGAACAGCACATGTGATGCAGTTGATACAATCTTGCCTGCAGAAAGCAAAAACTTGAAGCACTTTGTAAAGAAGATAAAAAATGACAATAGATAATATGGATTACATCTCAACATAGAGAAAACAATTTCTTACCATTGGAATAACATCATAATAAAAGGAGGAAAAAATTGAAGTTCTCAAGGATATCATTTGACTTAGATACACAATCAACACTCATGAACAATAGTTATGATATCAAATGATGTATTACATTGGGAAAATCTGCTCTCAGGGATCGCTCTAAAGAGCAAAGATGTAACTTTGAAGTGTAAAGTGTACCTGCCCAAAGTCATGGTATTTTCAGTTGCTTCATAGGTATATGAAAACTGGGTTCTGAATAAGAAAGATAGAATTGATGCCTTGGAATAGTGGTGTTGGCAAAGTATTAAATAGTAAATGGAATAGCAAGAATAAACAAATCTGTCTTGGAGGAAGTGCAACCACCAACACAAGTGCCTGAGAGGCAAGGATGGTGCAATCTAGTCTACACTCTTTGAACCTATTACCAGAAAGAGGCAGAGCTTGGAGGGAGACATGGGGCAAAGTCAATAAATGAGGTGACCTGACCCAGTAACTACAACAATGGGTTTAAATACAGAGGAGACTGCAAGACTGGCACAGAGTCAGGCATGGTTTTAATGTGTTGTCCATGACATTGCTATGAATCAGAGTCAATTAGATGGCACCTAAACAATAAAATAATCACTCAAAAAATGTTTCACTTGATTATCTTGTCCAGGTAAAACAGCCAATGAAAGGATTCTGAATAAGAAAAAACACTTTGATATACAAAGTTAAATTGCCATTAGTCAAACAATTGGGCTTTACTCACTACTGGACCAATAGGCCACATGATGACCAAATGAAAAAAAGCTAAAGTTGTCAATGATTTCACTTTACTTGGATCCACTATTGATACTAATGGTACCATCAAGAAATCAAAAGACATGCTGCACTGGGAAAAATCTGTTGTTAAAGACCTCTCTAAAGTTCAAAAGAACAATGACATCTTAAATGAATCAACTTTGAAGATTAAGATATCCCTGATCCAAACCATAGAATATCAATGACTGTGAGGTAGGCTTAAGACACAGCAAAGTTCAGAACTGTTGTTTATAGGGTGACCACTGTAAGTTGTAGGCACCTCAAAAGCACCTAACAAAAACAAAGTAACTGGATAGAGACATACAATAAACCAGCATAAACCTGATTAACTGAAATTAAATTAAAGAATACCACCAGTAACCAAAAGAATATTAAAGTAACTGTAATGTACTCTAAACAGTTGCTAGTTTTTGTTTGTTTGTTACCTGGTTTGCAAGATGAAAGTGACCAAACAGCCTGTGACCCAATTTCCCGCACTGTACCAGTCCTTTCCAACTGCTTAGGGTCAGCACCAGGAGGTGTCTTGTTTGGTGTAGTCATTTTCCAAATATGCTATGGAGAAAAAAGGAAGTAATACATGATTCGAGGTCTTGCGCATCATTATTTAGAAAGTAAATATAAACAGAGTTAACTCAATTCAATGCTATTAAGGTGGAACTGACTCCTACCTGACCTGTCAGTGGATCTTCAGAATTAGTAAATCTCATAAGAGGAGACTGCCCGTCTTTTCTCCAACAGAACAACCGGTGAACTCAAAACGTATGCCTTTGGGTTAGCACACAATTCCTGACCTACTAGGCCACAAATGAATCACTCATTTAGCACTAGAGTCAGGAAATCAAAAAGCGTATCGCAATGGGAAAGTCTGCTGTTAGGGACCTCTCTAAAGTACTCAGGAACAACGGTGTCTCTCTGGAGACTAAGGTGTGCCTGATACAGGCCATGGTATTTGCAATCGCTTGTTATGCCTCAGAGAGTTGGACAATGACTAGGGAGGACAGAAGGAGAGTGGATGCTTTTAAGGTGGTGCTGGAGAAGAGTACTGAATGTACCATGGACTGCCAGGAAAACAAACAGATTCATCTTGGAGAGGATTAAACCAGGCTGCTCCTTGGAGGCAAGGATTCTGGGGCTTCGTCTGACATACTTTGGACATGTTGCCAGGAGGGATGGGTCCTTGGAGAGGGACCTCATGCTTGGGAGGGTGGAGGGACGGCGCAGGAGGGGAAGACCCTCTATGAGATGGATTGATTCGGTGACTGGGGTAATCGGGATGGGTGTGTCAGAGGCAGTGCGGTTGGCGCAGGATAGAGCAGGGTTTAGGGCTGTTGTGCATAGGGTCGCTATGAGTCGAAAACGACTCGACGGCACATAACAACAACAACAACATGTATCATCTATCTCTTAAATGCAGTTAATACAACTTAATCAAGTAATTTCTAAATCGTGGGATTCAGTTTTTGCTTTTAAAACTCTTAGGATTTATAATATATTACTAAATGCATTTTGGACAAAGCAGTAGGGTAAATTAGTCAAAAGAGCACAAAACTACTGTTAAGTCTCTCCTTTAACTGGTGCACACTCTGGTCAGGTCTGAATTTTATTTCCTTTTCTGTCATAGGGGTTTACTTGTTGATTCAAAATGCTACCTACTTTATGAATAAGTTTCTTAAATTGTTTTTGCCCTAGAAAAGTCAACCTTGAGTTCTTACTCCAAAAATAGGTAAACAGTGATTTCTGTTTAAAATTTACACTAAGTGACACAGAGAAAAATTAATCTCCCCATTAACTGTTAACATTTACATTTATAAGAGAGATCTGGTGGTCTAGTGGTAAGAAGATGTGCTGCAATCCCAAAGGTGCAGGGTTCAAACGCACTAGCTGCTCCACAAGAGAAATCAGGGCACTCTCTGCCCACACAATTTACTGCCTCTGAAAATCCACTGGAAGGTCAGTTCTGACTTAATGGCACATAACAATTTATTTAAACAGTAATGGGAAAATTACTTAAAGGTTTAGAAGTCAACAACTCACTGTTCTAAAGATTGACTTATCTCTCATATTTTTTGTTAATCTTAGTATGTTTATGTAAAGTGAGAGAGGCCTCTTAAACAATGAATATGCAAAAGTTTGCTTGGGAAGTACAAAGTTATAGCTACAGAACACTGTTATATATGTTATTAGCAAACTATCCTATTACTTCTCTAAAACGTCTCCCTAACACCATTCATTAGACCCAAGTTATCCCCTAATTGTGAGACGAGCACTTGGTTCATATTATTTGCCAACAGTCCATAAATTTTGAAAAGACCAGAGACGTAAATGTCCTGTAAGTATTAACTAGATGAATACATCAATTAATTAATAAGTTCAGTCACAAACTCAAGTACTTGTCATCTGCAAGTATGGTCTACTCTGAAACATACAGAGAGAATATGCTGTATTCTCTCTCCATACATATTCAATCTGTACGCTGAGCAAATTATTTGAGAAGCTAGACTCTATGAAGAATGTGGCCTCAAGATCAGAGGAAGACTCATCAATAACCTGCGTTATGCAGATGACAGCCCTGCTTGCTGAATATGAAGGGGACTTGAAGCACTTGTTGCAAGAATACAGCCTTCAATATGGATTGCATCTCAATGTCAAGAAAATAAAAAATATTTCCACTGCACCAATATGCAACATCATGATAGATGGCAAAAAGATTGAAACTGTCAACCACTTCATCTTACTTGGATTCACAATTAACACCTCTGGCACAAGCAATCAAGATATAAGGAGACACATTACACTGAGAAAGTCTACAGTCAGAGACTTCTCCAAACTACTGCAAAGTAATGATGTCATTTTGAGAACTAATGTGTGTCTGTTTCAGGCCATGGTATTTCCAATCACTTGCTATTCATCTGATAGCTGGATAATGAATAAGGATGACAGAAGAAAAATTGATGCCTTTGTGCTATGATGTTGGAGAAGAGCAATGAACAGCTATGGACTACCAAAAGAACAAATAATTTTGTCTTGGAGAAAGAACAGGAGAGAGTGCTCCTTGGAGGCAAAGATAATAAAGTTTTGCCTCACATACTTCAGACATGTCACTAGTGAAGGATTATGAGGAAGTTAACTTTTAACCCTTCTCAGGTAGAAGCCATAAAACCTCACAGGACTTTGGCCCTCTTTTAGAAAAACAGGACCATAAACCACTCAGAAAAACAAGGCCATAAAACGGCTCACCCACATCTGCGAGTACAGATAAGAGAAATTCCAGGAGTTGTTTTTCTGAACTTTACTCCCCACTCCCCCACCCCCTTGCGCCGACCCCGCTTGCCACGCATGCCAACTCGCT